AAATAAGGAAAACACTTTGATGAGAATACCTCAAAATGATGACAAAATTTTAAACGACATCATTTTAGTAACTCAATAATATCATATTCTTTAAAGACCTATAAATAAATATAACTTTGTGCAGACCCTTTTATTTTTAAAGATAACCTTGTTGTATAAACAAAAGGCAGTGAAGTATTTCGCAGAGAACTAAAATATTACCCGGCGGGGGCAGTCTCATCTTTCCTTCTCATATTTTTCCCACATCTTTTATCCTGCTGATGACGGAAGTCTCAAAGTGACAGACAATTTTAGCGTTAACAAGAATAACGGCAGCAGACTGGAGTGATGGAAACTTTAGCCACATGTGCGCAAATATTTTTCCTGTTTCTGGATTCTTTTCCGCCCCCTTTTGCCTCAGTCAGCATAATAATGAATTACATACACTGAGGCAGCGGAGGAGTCCTCGTCCCTGAAATCCTGCAATCCTTGCCATCAAAAACATCAGGCAACTACCTATGGAATCGCTCTGAGCACTCGCTTAGCTTCCTCGCCACGCTTTGTTGGCTGCAGCAATTTTACAATTGACTGTTTCTACAGTTTCTAAATGGGGAAACTCCCCACTTTGCAGTGAAAACCCACTGTTTAAAGGAAAAATGGGTGGCAAAGTGGGTGGGTTTGTAAAACGCTTGGCTTGTTTTACGCATTATTTACTTAGTTGGGATGCTGCCTCATGCTACCCATGTACGTGTGCACGTGTTTGTGTAGCTACACTCAGGAAAAATGTCTTTAAATATTAAAATTTAGTTTTTAGGTTGTGATAAGTGGTTGTTTAATCTTATGCGGCGGATAAAAGTAGTAGAAGTTTGTGAAATATTAAAAAACGTGTATCAATTGACAAATTGAATTAATTTTTTGTAGTTAAAAACAAGAGAGAACGCTATAGTCGGGTGCCCCGACTATCAGATACCCGTTACTTAGGTAAAGGGAGTGCGAGGGAGATGGAGATAGAAACTTTGATCACGCATAACTTTTTAACATATGGTCCGATTTGAAAAATTTCTTTTACATTTCGATAGGTATTGATAAACACAATAAAACTGCATTTTTACTTTTCCGAAATATTTAAATTTTTAAAATCGTATGTAAGCGATTGTGGGCGTTAAAGGGGGCGTGGCACCTTTTTGAAACAAACTTGCGCTGCGTAGGAACTCCTAGAATCTGCATGCAAAATGCCAATCTTCTAGCTTTTATAGTTTCCGAGATCTCAGCGTTCATACGGACAGACAGACAGACAGACAGACAGACAGACAGACAGACGGACAGACGGACAGACGGACAGACGGACATGGCTATATCGACTCGGCTAGTGACCCTGATCAAGAATATATATACTTTATAGGGTCGGAAACGCTTCCTTCTAGCTGTTACATACTTTTGCACGAATACAATATACCCTTTTACTCTACGAGTAACGGGTATAAATACGCCTTGTAATTCCCAAGTTGTATTTTTTAAGTTTTTACTTGCAGCTTTAGAAATAGTAGAGTAAATATTCATATTTATATGGTTGCAATTTACATTTTATTTAACATGTTCCTCTTATAAAGTATGTTTTTATTGAAAAATTATATTTTTTCTCAGTATTAATGTGCGTGTGTACCCAAGTAAATGTGTGTGTGTGTGTGTGTGTCCATTCCGTGGGGGATAGGGGCGTGGCAAATGAACTAGCATAAAAGTAAGTTTGCGGCAAGCAGCAAAACGTTTGGTTACAATTAATTTCGTACTCTGCGCCGGGCAATAAGGGGCGATATATATATAAAGATGCAGGGGATGCGGGTGTTATAAAAGGGGGTTGAGATGCCAGGGGTGATCCCTTAATGTGAGCAATTTGAAATGAAAACCGGTCCCGGAGTCCTGAAGCCGTAAAAGTATTTTGCGGCCATTTCTACCATTATTTCCATCTCAAGCTCTGGTAACAAATGAAGGGTAAAAACAAATCGAAATTCCCAGGCAGGCCATCAACAAAGGAATTCGACCAAATAACAAACGACGAAATTACACGAATATCAAATCAAAATTATCTACCTGGCGGGAGATTTTTTAATGCCGGACGTAAAGCAAAAATGGGCAATAAAAATGTTTTAAATGCGTTTGGGAAACGTGAAAATATCTTAAGATATCTCAACGGAAAAAGGGGCCAATAAAATATGTTAACAGAGGAAAAAATGGGCAATTTGATATATGAAATGCCATTCATGTTTATTTCTTTGACATTTAATACCCGAAACTTACTTGATCAGCTTGTTTGCGCAGTGTGGGAAGAGAATCCGCCTTCGTCTGTCCAAATTACTTATGGTAAAAGCAGAAAGCACACACTTTTTTTTTGTTGTTGTTGGCACAAGATGCTAAATGACAGGCGGCTTATGCAACATTTATTTGATATTGTATTAAATATTTAACGCACGACACGATAAAACACTTTTGCCTCATTAATCTAACGCACACAAGAACAGTGGGAGAAGGAGGAGAAGCTGCTAATTAAAGCCGGCACAACTAAACACGGCTCACACACAAGGATCACACATTCACAGAAAGGACTGCCAAGCCTTTAGTCGATGATTGATACGGATAGCCCAAGGAATTTTGGTGTTTTCCCTGAGGATGGGGTATTACTGAGGTTTTCCTTTTTCACGAGAATTTTACGCGACTTTCCAATGCGAGGCGTGAAGCGATGAGCAAAAGTTTTTCCGTCCACACGTGAGCACTTGCAAAGGGAGACTGAAATTTTGCGCAAAAGAGCCTGTAAGTATGCAGCAGCCTTGTCGTATAACACTACAGCCAGTATAACAGTTTTGTGCGTGAGAGAGAGTCGATTGGGGGAATTATTGGGGGAAATGGAAAAGCAGCTGAGCTCTTTGATACCTGCTAAAAGGTAACATAAAATTTGGTTTAATGCAGTAGCGACCTTCAGCATCATCAGCATAAACTTGGCCAACTATTTAACCACAAAAAAAAAAAACATATGTGTACAAGCCAGAAAATCATTTCCGCCAAATTGCCCAAGTCGCACAATTTATTTTTATTGGACCCTGAGAAGTTTATGGTCTCTGCGTACGTAACACTGATGATTATGATTATTTACTCAGCCTATTTATGTGTGGGCGTTTGGTTACATAATTAGGCCATTAAATATAAGTGCCTGTGTCTCTGATTTCTTCCCCCCAGCATCACAAATCGATCAGGAAGGCAAACAAATTCTACTTGACAAAGAGGGGCAATTTTAAATGGAAAACAGAAGGCCATAAAGAAACGTATTTCCAACAGAAACTTTTCTTCGGCGGAAAACGTAATTGAATTTTTATTGACATTCTAGCGGAAGCGGAGGTGAAGACAGCTGTCACTTGAGCGACAGACTTGGCTGGAAATAAAGCGCAACTATTTCGCAGAAAATGACCAGGACCAGTAAAATAAAAGGAGGAAAAGTCAGAAAATAAGAGACAAACCAAAAAGACGACCAAACAAACCGTAAACCTAAGAAAATCCAAGGAAAATAAAAATACTTAAAATTAATTCCGTTTTAAAAGGCCCCTTTAAAATGGGAATTGAGCCAGAATGGCTTATGGCGGGCCAAGAATAACCTAATTAGGGTTGACATAAGGAAACCGAAGAAAATTTTTGTAGATTAAGGAGAAAAGTTCCAAAAATAACAATTTAAATAAAGAAAATAAAGGGAAAAAGGAAACTTTCTGCATAAAAATTAAAAATTCAGTGAAATTTATGTTAATAAGACTTCGTTATTGGTAATTTAACTGTGTGAATATTCTATTACCTTTAAAATAAATTGGTTTATTCACAAAACTGTGTTATGGAAATGTATTTGTAAGTATATTACTTAATACGGCGTCAGTTGTCGTGCTCTAACCATTTAACCATTTTTATTTAATTATTTATCACTAAGGACATGTTTAAAGTACTTGTATCAAAATGGTTATTAATTTGAAATTTAAAATGTATATGGTAGCTAAAATTAATATTATAGTTTTATGTGCAATATTTTTTCTTGCTAGATAAATCCGGTAATTAAGAACGACATCAATTTATATTTATCAGTGTACTTGAATTTCAGAATATATATCTAAAGACATAATTGTTTTTTTAAATGCTGATCTAACGAGAATCAGTTTACCAATTAAAGTGCGACCAGGGCATTTGTCACGGCTATCTGCCCCATAATATGCCACTATTATCATTAAGAGTCTCCCGCTTTAGTGGCCACAATCGCTTTGCTCATTACCAGGAGGCGTCGTCGTCTCTGGCTGGTCATTAAATTATTTTATATGGCACATTAAAAGCGAGGATAAACACACATACTCCCACTATCCCTACTCTCATATATATAGTAAGTGAACTGCATTTGCAGTAGGGGTCATAAGCCAAAGGCTTATGGGGGAAAACTGGGGACTGTCCATCTGCGGCAGGTTCTATTTGCTATTATTATCATTGTCGGAGTGCTCGGGCTGTTATTATTGTTACGAGTGTGTGCTCGGCTTCTAAGCAATTATTTAAAGCACACCAAGGACGGTAGAAATGCAGAGACAACTCTCCCTTTTTGCGTCCGCGGGGAAAGTCCATCGTTGGCTGCTGAGATTTCAATTTAAAAACGAGGCCAAACTACTGGACGAAAGGGAAAAGGGGGCTCCACACACATGTGACTACAAGTTTTTATGCCAGCACAGCAGGTTCTCTCTCAAGCACTCTAAAAAAATATCGACTTCCTATCAAAGGCATATATAATCTGTTGAATATAGATACTCAAGTACAAAATAATGTAATTTATTTTAACAATTCTTCTAAAAAAGATTGGTTAGTGTTTTGTGTTACACGCAGGATCATAATCATATTTTAAGACATTCAAAGTGAAACAAATACAAATTTTACACGAAAATATTATTATTATTATGACAGGCAAAAAATGTATAGAATATACCATTATTTAAAGGCCATTTATACGTGCATATTCAGGTCTTGTCATTTAGATTCCTTAACCAATCTGTAAGAAAAATTAAATATAGTATTAACATATATGATATGTGAAACAAACCGGAAACTGGCCTTAAAATATTTGTTTTATTTTGTTTATTTGGAGTCCTAAGTAAAAGTAATGATTACTACCTAAGAGAAAGTTAGAGGGAAATCAAACGAATACTGTTTATAATATTATATGTTTTGAAAAATGTGGTTACTTTTTAGGTGGAGTTTTTCGGTCAGTGCACCAGCAGTCACCTCTGTGATGAAGCTTCGCTTCAGGCTTGCTGATTGCGTGCCATTGTGCGGCGAGATGCTTACATATTTATTTACAATTTAAATGCAGTAGCCCTGCCCCTTGGGCCAATTTTCGCACCTGTCACCGCTTTTGTGCCTTTTTAATTGTCGCAATCAATTGAGACAACAAAGGTTAAAAGCTTAATTTATTACCTGTGTTTCGAATGGCTTTTGCCAGCAGACAACGGATCTCATCCAATTTCGGAGTGGCCTCGGTCCTCAGTTGTATTTTTGAAATGGTGGCTATATTTTTGATTAAGTGGCGAAACTTGGGTTTACTAAGATCGGACTTCCAGGATTTTGGCCAGGCAAAGAGAGTAGTTCCTTGATCGTTCATCACATTATCCCATTCTAGTTTTCGTCGGATTGCTTGGACAATTTGTCGTTTTGTTTGGCAATCCTTATTGGAAATATCGGTTGGTATGTCCAAAATATCTTCAATATTTTTAAAAGGTGATGCTTTATATTTTTGATCATCCGATATAATTACATCCATCTTGTGTTGAACTTGCTCCATTTTTAACATTACATCCGCAAGGGTTTCAGTTAAATTGTAGTTTGTCATTAGGCATTGGAAAATTACTACTAGATTTGGTTTGACTTCTTTAAATAACTCCTCGCAAGGTGTAATAAGTTTGTTGTTCTTTAGTACCTCCCACGTCATAAGACAGCAAGTGAAACATATAAATTGGAACACCACAAGAACCAACAACATTTTCGATCTGTGGACGAAACCAAACTGATATGAACTCGATGTCGAACGCGAGGTTTCATTTCTTGTTAATTGATTTTGTACAGTCAAGGAAATTAAATGTATACGAGCTGAAACATTGGCAAGGCCCAGCCAACTTTCACAACAGAGCCATAAATTTTGGTTGGCACTTGTGAGGCTGCAAACTTTTCGAAAACTTGCAGCTCATCCGGCTTTTCCCGCGAACTAGAGTTTTGCCAGCTTTACTTCCTTTGTGGCCTTATTTGATGCCAATGGCAGAAACGGCAGAGCGACCACCATAAATAATCCATACAAATTAACGCAACCGTGCACTCTTAGCCACCCAAAAACTCAAGCCCCAAAACTGAAACCGAAAACCGTGAAGTTCCAACAAAAGCACCAAAATTTAGAACAGTTTAATCGACACCAATTCGCTTGGTGGCAAAAAAAAGTAAAAAAAAAAAAAAACGGAAGTGCTAAAATATATATTGCGGAATAAAAAATAGCGCTTAGGCTCTTAGCATCCCCCCAAAAACCATTTTGGGTTTCGCTTCACCATCCGCCGGCAGCTTCTTTGGTAAGCAAAATTTATTGTTTGCGGAAGTTGTCTTTAATGGCACCCCAGCAGCCACACCCTAAAGGACCATCCACTCTACTCCAATAAATTTATCCTCGCTTTCCCCGCCATTTATTCAGTCTGCATTTAGTTGACCTTCAGCTGCAAATAATTTCAACTCATTGAGTTTAATGTCCTGCGCCTTATGGGCGTGTTTCAGCCATTTATAAGTCCTCGTTGCCACGTGGATACAGTCCGTTTCGAAACTAAGATTTATAGAATTTAGGAAGAAATAATATACTATAATATATATATATACAAAATATTTAAATATACAAAATATTTAAATATTTTAATACTATATAAAGAGTATAAACTTTATGTAAATTAATTCCATTTGTATTGTGGAAGTATAAAATCTAAAAGAATTTATAATGCACAATTTAATAATAACTCTTAAGTAGTATTGATAAATCAATATGTAAACATTTTGAAATCTTTTTAAGTTTTCCAATATAAGCTTTGCCATATTATTTTGAAGCACATCGTATATTAGTTTTATCTGGCCACTTGTTTTCGCCCAATAATCGCATGATTTATGGCCAACAATGGTCAGGGAAGTCCTTTCCTTCTGGGCTCATAAATATTTAGCTAGCCTGAATTTGTTTTTTTCCTTTTCCTTTTTGTATATACTTGTTTTCAATTTTTCTGTCGTTCAGCTTGAAAACTGTATTTTAATATGGGAGCCAAGACACACACTGAAATATGCAACATTTGCCCTTTTTCAAATGTTGGCTGGAAGCTAATGCGTTTATAAAGTGTTAACATGGCGTATGCGTAATATTTAATAGCAGCTGTGCAGATGGCTTCCAATCCTCACCGCCTTTAGTTTATATATATATTTTGATTTATGCTTATGAAAAAGTATGTCCTACTTTATGGCTTCGTTCTGGGCTATGCTTTGGTGAATGAAATGAGGTAATAAAAATTTCAAGCCAACTCGAGCGTTGTGTTGAGTTGCTGCAAAGACGGTCGTAAATTTAATTGCTGCGATTATTGCCGGGAAATTAGCACAGATCACAGATAATCGTCCAGCTTAAGTTAACGACAGCTCAGTGAGAAGATTTACGATCTAAACAGTTTCATGACAATTTTATGATGTTTGAAAATACTTTTAGAACTTTGTAGTGAAATTAAAACCATATTTTAATAGAAAAAGCTGATAAATCAACTTAATAAATTAATTGTTCAGAATTAAAAGAGTTTTTTTGGAACTATACCATTATATGTATATATAAACATATAAAACAATCAGGTTTCCTTAGTATTAGTAAATTTAAAATCATAAAATGTATGGAAATATCCATCTAAATAAAACCATAAATGTTACTATTAAAAACAATTAATTAAAATTCACTGAAATCAGCATAAGTCTGAACGCCTTTTAACTGGCTTTTGTTGGCAATATTAAATTTCCATTAAGGCAAATATTTGAGCCGCCTTAAAAACCAGGCCAATTCCCCAACGGCAAGGCCAATAATTTATGCTAATTCACTTGACTGCCAGGCAGACACCAGCAGGCCACAAAAAAACCCCAATGACAATGACAATGACTTCCTGCCGACGAGAGTTTCGCACACACAAATAAGAGAATATTAGGCTGGCAAAAATTAAATCGAGCCGCTTGTAATTTAGCCAATTGCACCAAAGTGGCCGACTAATTGCCTGGGGACCAAGTACAGGAAATGAATTTGCATTTCGGTTAACGCACTTGAATATGCAATTTGAATGTGTGTCACATGCAGGAGAGTGGTGCTCAAGAGTAAGTAAGCCGACTCGTTAACATGATGAAGTTATATTAAGCTCGTAGTCAGGCATAATTTATTTAAAACAAACAGACGGCTGGCGAAAAGTAAAAGTCGGACGTGGATAAACTGTGAAAATACAGACAGAATCACAGCGGTCGTGCATATATGTGCTATCTTGAAAACAATTGGGGGTCAACGAATAGGTCTATGACTAGGTCTAGTAAAAAAAAATAATTTCCGAACAATAAAAAAACCTTTGATTTAAGACGTGTAAAGAATTTACAATGGGTATATCAAACATAAATAAATATAAAATATTAATTAAAAATAATAGTTTAATACAAAACAAGAAATACCTACTTACCACGCCTTCAAAATATACAATGTCAAAAATTAATGATTTAAACGTAACATTTTTGTTTCTATTGCTTAATAACTCACTAAAACTTGCTTACAAGAAAAAATAAAATTAAAAACAGAGTATCTTATTTAAAAATCTATTCACTTTTAAGGCATATTCTTAAAATTCCAAATTCTAGAAAATATTTCTGAAGACCTTTGAATTTAAATAAAATAAGTGTTTGTAGTTACTTTTTTTCTTCACCAGCTTAAGGATTATATTTTCAGCCTGATCTATTAGTGCGTCTGTTTTCCATTTGCTCTTCTCATTATTATGCTCAACACTTAGTTGGCAATATTTTTTGCTGCAGAACGACACCACGCCCACGACCTTCACACAGTGGCAAAAGCAAACAAGAAATGGGCGGTGCACGCCCCTCCTTGAATTTTCCAGAGGATTGAGTAGACTAAGCGTTTTGTCTACTTTTGCCCGGCATCCGTTTCTGTTACCCGTTTTATCTTGTTGTTCATTTTATTTTTTCCATTTTTTCCCCATATTTTTCTCTTTTTTTTTGGTTCATAGTCACTTAAGGATTCATGCAGGAGCTGAAGCCGCAAGCAAACAGGCAGCACCTTGTTCATGTAGTCAGTCAGTCAGTGGGTGAGTGGGTGGTGTTGGGTGGTGTTGGTGATGGCATTTTTTTGTTTGGGCGGTTGAGTGGGCCTGTCAGACGCCTGCGGACATGCCCTGAATTTTAAAACCATCGCCAACAGAACTCAGCCTTGAGACAAAGCAGTGCCTGTGGTTTTCAGCCATCCATCATGGGCCTATTTATTCGCACAGATTTTATTTTAATTTCATTAAAATGATGTGACAGAACTTAATTGGTTTCCATTGTGAAAGCGATAGCGAAAGCGAAGGCAAGCGATTAAATCGCATTAAATTATGAAGACAATAAAGTGAAAGATACGACAAATTGTTTGTGTGCGGGCGATAATATTATATTCGTTTAAAATTTTGCCCTGAGATAAATTTCATTCACCATTCATTTTTCACTTGACAAAAGTTTATGAAAATAATTTATGAATTCAACTGAATTTCGAATTTCGATTATGTTTTGTCAACAGAACGAGTTGCCGTCCGAGTAAACAAACTGCACTCTCCATTAGCATATTTAATTTTTCAATTATGCATTTTCCCCATTTTTTGCCCACGTAATTAGCATAGACTCTCGGTGGCAGTGCATTATAAACAGTTAACCCGTAATCTGGGATGTGGCACACTATGGGATTTGGCCCACATTTCCCCTCCATCGCCCCCTTTTTCACCAAGGTCTTGCCACTCGACGTGCAACATTCAAATTGAGTTGCATAACTTGCAGTGAGGTGAGTAAAGTCATTCAAATGCAAATTTCATTTGCACCCATACTGGCAATCGTAACTAAGGACACTGGGAAATGTCAACCACAGTCGTCATCATCCAATTCGTGAGGGGGCGTGACCCTGCAACTTATGTATGACCTCCTCGGATTCCTTTGTACTGCCAAATAATTAGCAATAATGCAGTCAATGTGGGGCATGACACAGGATCATAAATTTGAGCCAGGAAGTCGAAAATCTGTGTGTAGAATTATATATGCACACAAATCCCGAATTTTGTCAGGAAGACAAATTTGGAATGTTGCGAAACTAATGACATTTCTTAGAATATTGAGAGCTTACGTTTAGCTTTGACAGTCCTTTGTTTCTGTGGCAAGATGAAAATTGAATATTAATTATGGAATTATAATAATAATAATAGTATGTTTAATTAAAATATTAATTATGGTTTCCAGTGCACATGAAAATGGTTAGAAAATTATTTCTAAGACTTGAGCTCCTTTCTATATTTTTAGAACCAACAATAATATAGAAAACGAGAAAGGAAGCAAACTTCGCAAGCCGAAGTTGATATACCCTTGCAGCTATTACAAAACGACTAAACAATTAAAAACAACAGATATATTTGAAAAAAAAAATTCCAATTGTTCCTTGGGAGCTATTGTCATAACCGTGGAAATAATTAACATGAAAATGGGTCAAAATTTTGATAAACGTTAAAATGAAAAATTTGAATGCAGATTTTCAGAGAATCGAACCACGAGTCTTTGGAGGTATGCCACTTTGAAATCGTCTTAAGTTTGGCAAAGTTATGGACCGTGGAAGTCCAGTTGTGGGTGATCTTTTCTCAACATGTCATAATCGTTGAAATAATTAACATGAAAATGGGTCAAAATTTTGATCAACGTTAAAATGAAAAA